ATCCAGAATGCTGATGGAAAGAGATCCAATAATCTCCAGTATTAGTTTCTCTGCAATGGCTCCCTGTACATCCAGAATAGAATTTAAAATCATTCTCCTCACCTATGCAAAGTCCTTGTACCGGTATTAAAAACATGCTGGAGCTGAATCAAATTATGCTGTACTCTCAATCAGGTATTATTATTCTTAAAAAATTTGATATAGGTCAGCAAGTGACCCATATCTTTCTCTTATACCAACAAAACTATTATGTTTTACATTGTGCTATTGATAACTTTGGATCTGAGTAGACTACTCCTTCCAACATACTTTGCAACATGGCTTGTAACTCCAACAATCATTGAACAATGGCACCATCTACTGGATAAAATCCCAAACAGACGTTCTTCCAGAAACATTACAGTAGGACCAGGACCTTTGCCTGCAAACGTCATGTGATGACTTTGGTTACATAGATTTGCAAACACTGTCGTGGATGACACTACCAAGATTATGTCCTACTCAAAAAGTAGATGGTGCACAGCACACAGCAACATGATCTGTACAGTCATACACATTTCAACAGTGCCTGCTTTACCTGGAAACAGGATTAGGAGCCTTGCTGTGAAGACGTTTATTGTTTTGTGTGTATTTAGGTATAAATGTTGCTTGTAGGCTATATATTTTTATTATCTATGTGCAATTATTTTACTGTGAAAATGCCAGTTCCCTTTGAGTTGTGATAAACTAGGTGCAGCTAAAATTTCCTGTTTATATGGCCATATGCATTTTTCACTTCATCTTGATCAACTCAGTTCTTTAATGCAACTGAAAGATTCATTCAGATTCTCACCCACATTCATTCAAATTTAAGCATCTTAAGCTCCACTACTTGTGGAGTAGTACACATTTCCTGTTCATATATACATTCATTTGTGTCCCTTTGGCCTCAGTTGAGAGTGCTGAGAAAATTGCCATGTGTATTCACTAGCATACTCCCTGACTCATGCGTTCATGTGACCACATGTATTTATAATATACTCATACAAATGGTCATATAGGGGAATGCTCTTGATACAATTATTCATTTTCGGTGACTAAATATTCCAGTGGCTGCTTGCTTGCATCACATTATAACCTAGCTTTTTTTTTAAAAAGTGTTCGTGCAGTTATAAAACAGAGATTAACACAACATTTAATAATTTTGTTAAACTGCCTTTATTATGGAAGACATTATTATTATACAAATAATTTAAGAAATATCATTCACATATTTTCCACCTTCCCAAATCTGAAACCAAACCTATGGCCTTAAAAGGTAACACGTCAGTAGCAGTACTAAAAATGTGTTTTGTATTCTGGGAAAGAGCAATCCTCTAAATGTTTGAGAGGAAATGGAATAAAAACACATGATATATGTGCTCCATGTATGTGATTACAGACACTTTGCTTTGAGGAATTCAACGTTGGTCATGACAGCAGCAATGATATACAAACATTTAGCCAGAACCTAATTATCTTGAAGCTACTGTTTCTTATTATAGTTCTATTTCCAGAATAATCCTTTCATATATGTCATTAAGGTTTAAAATATCAATACAATGTCCAGCTTTACCATTTTGCTACTGAGCTGGAAATGAGCCACAGATGTTATGATATGTATACAAGCAGCCTGGACGGGTATCATACTTACTCTAAATTGTGCGTGCTGCAGCTCATTTGTAAATTCAATGCCTTAAAATGTCTTGAATACAGACAAATATACAGTGGGTACGGAAAGTATTCAGACCCCTTTAAATTTTTCACTCTTTGTTTCATTGCAGCCATTTTCCAAAAATCAAAAAAGTTCATTTTATTTCTCAGTAATGTACACTCAGCACCCCATCTTGACAGAAAAAAACAGAAATGTAGAAATTTTTGCAAATTTATTAAAAAAGAAAAACTGAAATATCACATGGTCATAAGTATTCAGACCCTTTGCTCAGTATTTAGTAGAAGCACCCTTTTGATCTAATACAGCCATGAGTCGTTTTGGGAAAGATGCAACAAGGTTTTCACATCTGGATTTGGGTATCCTCTGCCATTCCTCCTTGCAGATCCTCTCCAGTTCTGTCAGGTTGGATGGTAAACGTTGGTGGACAGCCATTTTCAGGTCTCTCCAGAGATGCTCAATTGGGTTTAAGTCAGGGCTCTGGCTGGGCCATTCAAGAACAGCCACGGAGTTGTTGTGAAGCCACTCCTTCGTTATTTTAGCGGTGTGCGTAGGGTCATTGTCTTGTTGGAAGGTAAACCTTCGGCCCAGTCTGAGGTCCAGAGCACTCTGGAAAAGGTTTTCGTCCAGGATATCCCTGTACTTGGCCGCATTCATCTTTCCCTCGATTGCAACCAGTCGTCCTGTCCCTGCAGCTGAAAAACACCCCCACAGCATGATGCTGCCACCACCATGCTTCACTGTTGAGACTGTATTGGACAGGTGATGAGCAGTGCCTGGTTTTCTCCCACATACCGCTTAGAATTAAGGCCAAAAAGTTCTATCTTGGTCTCATCAGACCAGAGGATCTTATTTATCACCATCTTGGAGTCCTTCAGGTGTTTTTTAGCAAACTCCATGCGGGCTTTCATGTGTCTTGCACTGAGGAGAGGCTTCCGTCGGGCCACTCTGCCATAAAGCCCCGACTGGTGGATTGCTGCAGTGATGGTTGACTTACTACAACTTTCTCCCATCTCCCGACTGCATCTCTGGAGCTCAGCCACAGTGACCTTTGGGTTCTTCTTTACCTCTCTCACCAAGGCTTTTCTCCCCCGATAGCTCAGTTTGGCCGGACGGCCAGCTCTAGGAAGGGTTCTGGTCGTCCCAAACGTCTTCCATTTGAGGATTATGGAGGCCACTGTGCTCTTAGGAACCTTAAGTGCAGCAGAAATTTTTTTGTAACCTTGGCCAGATCTGTGCCTTGCCACAATTCTGTCTCTGAGCTCTTCAGGCAGTTCCTTTGACCTCATGATTCTCATTTGCTCTGACATGCTCTGTGAGCTGTAAGGTCTTATATAGACAGGTGTGTGGCTTTCCTAATCAAGTCCAATCAGTATAATCAAACACAGCTGGACTCAAATGAAGGTGTAGAACCATCTCAAGGATGATCAGAAGAAATAGACAGCACCTGAGTTAAATATGAGTGTCACGGCAAAGGGTCTGAATACTTATGACCATGTGATATTTCAGTTTTTCTTTTTTAATAAATTTGCAAAAATTTCTACATTTCTGTTTTTTTTCTGTCAAGATGGGGTGCTGAGTGTACATTACTGAGAAATAAAATGAACTTTTTTGATTTTTGGAAAATGGCTGCAATGAAACAAAGAGTGAAAAATTGAAAGGGGTCTGAATACTTTCCGTACCCACTGTAGCTCAAGTTTTAGTAGTCTCAAAACTGTTGAGATTTCTTGATGAACTACTGTTCTGGTGAAAAACTACACCAGTCTTGCAGACGGTTTTCTAGTCATGAACATACAGAAAAAGAAGAGGAAACATGATAAGCTTGCCAGGGAGACCATAATGGCCAGAAGGTTGCAGTGCCCGTTACTGACGAATCACCCCTGAGTATATTAGGATATTACATTACCCGACCAAAGTGAATATTAAACATGTAAGGCTGCTTAAAAATATTTCAATGCGACAGGAAGGAATCCCTGTCTGTATGTCCGTCCATTGATTTTCTCGACAGTATCTTGCTGATGACCCAAGGGAGTGCTGTGTTGTATTTGGTGCAATTTGATCAGATGGTGGCGCTATAACACCATACCAAAGCCATCCCCACCAAGAATGATAACAATAACCATAAATATATTGCTTTAAAGATTGTTCTTACTCAAGTGGATGTCGGAGTCCTCACAACAACTATAACGACGGCAACATTGGCGAGTGATCACTTTCAGAGCGATTTAAAAAACGATAAAAACACTGACATTCAGTCAAAATCTCCCAAAATGTCATTTTAAATGAGACATACCGCCAGTGCTCTTTGACGCTGATGGGGTCTCTGAAGTTCAACTTGTTCTTACTGATGTCCTCTTTGACAGCGATACCATCGATCTAACCCCCTTTTCCTTGTCACTTTAGCCAAGTGTTCGGTCATGGTGGGAATTGTTGGTTCTCTGTTAATAATATTACAAAGAGTATGGTCTAGACCTAGTCTATATGAAAAGTGCAATGAGATAACTTTGATATGAATTAGCAGCGTTATATAAATAAATAGAATGTTGACTTAAAAGAAAGTGATAGTGACAAATAAAATTTGTCTTCAAAAGACGACTACACTTTTAACAGTGTGGGATTCCCCTAACTCCTCCCTTCTTTGAAGAATTTCGTGAACCCATATCCTTCTGGTTTTCTCTTTGTTTCTCTGTGCAACGTACAGCAGTAACTGCTCATCAATATCCATTTTCCTAAGCTACTACAGCTACAGTTATTGTTGTTGGTGTGGACGGCCCTTTAGTCTCAGAAACACATTTTTCCCCCCTGGATTCTGTGGCTCCAGACACATCTATCAATATTAGCCACGCCCATCTGTATCCAGATAAATCCCCACTTGAATTTTGTCCAAATCTTTTTCTTTTTTTGCTACTGTCCCCAAATTTGGTACAGAACATCTCTGGACCAAGTAGGGAAAAGTTACTTTCTTTTCATATTCCAAAAATATTTCTTATACAGTAGCTGGCCCTCAAAGTTTGCTTAAATACTGTGGGCAAGACTATTAATACAAAAAAGGCAATATCTCCAGAAAGCTTTGTGCTATTGCAACCCCATCTGGTGGACATGTAGATATGACAATGTCAGATTTGGTGCCATTTGGCACCAATAGGTGGCGCTATAACAGCACCATCTAACTACAGTGTACAGGAAGAAATCTGTCTGGATGTGTGCATGCCTGTCCTTGACATATCTTGAGAACTGTTCATCTGATCAACTTCTAACTTAGTGGGTGTATTCCAGAGGACCCAAGGAAGTGCAAGTTATGGAAGGAGTGTGAAGTCAATCGGAAGAGCATTTATTGAGAACGCTGCCAAGCAATTGTCCCACTCTTATCCGTTCAGAACGGCCATGCCCTGAATGGGCACTGCACTAGTGTATGTAAAAACAAACATCAGCATTAATAACAGATGAGGTATTAAAACTGGAGGTAGTCAATACTATTCAAAACCTCAATGAAGCGGGTTATTACTGTCAGGTCTACCTCGGAGGAGACCGGTGAGAACCTCATACGTAACAAACACCACCATGTTGACAGGGAATGCACGCAGGCAGTTGATGTGTAAACTCTTAAAGAACACCCCTGCTCCCTCCACCTTCATTGTCTCAGTGATGCAGTGATATAAACCCTTGTATCGCTTGTTCTCCCGGGTTCCATCCATCTGCAGACGGGCTTTGATCACGTCCATGGGCGTTCCTACAGTCCAGCCTGCCATTCCTGCTACTCCACCGGCCAGCATCACAACACTCCAATCTGGGGGAAATGAAAAGATGCTGACATTGAAGGGTCCCACTGACTTTAAAATTCCACTGGATTTAAAATTTCTGAGTGAGGCACAAAGTCTGTGTGTTTGAATAATTCAATAGTCAGGTATGCTGTGACACGTTTATCAGATATTTTATACCTATGAATGTAACTTTGTTGATTTTATTTAACAGCATAAATCATCACATGAATCAGGCTGTAACTGAAAATATGAAAACGTGCGTAAAGATAAATTAATACATACAAGACTCAATGTCAATTGCTCAAGCTACACACACACAAAAAACAGAAGCCTTTTCTTGAAAGAAAACCCAGAGTTGACTTCACTCACCTGGTCTTTTCTTGCTGTTGTCTGTCAGCCACTCACAGATGGTCGCATAAGTCAGAAAGTATGTGGCAAATGATGGCCCATCTCTTAGCATAAGCGGAAGCGTTCCTCTGTAGAGCCCCATGAACCCGTCCTCTTTGATAATGCTCAGCAGACAGTGAACTGGACCATGGTACTTGGGTTTGGGCATGTTGTTCCCTCCTTGCATGGACTCTGTCTGACATTGCAGACGTACTTTCACTATATCACCTGGGGACATCACTGATATCTGTTGGAGGCAGATAAGGAGAGACGCTAAAGCTAAAACTATCCCGCAAGGCTACACACACTTTGGGAGTTGTGTGTTTTAGGTGAAGTAGCTGTTTAATTCCATATGACAAATATACACATAGATGTAAGCTATTCATTGCATTACCCATTACAATCTGAACTGCATGTGAAATGATGCACATTTTTGACGCACAGACTCAACAGTCTTAAGAGAGTTTGCAAACTTGTATCTGTTACCTGAGTTATACCCGCCGCCATACCAGACAGGAATACTTCAAGTTTGGTGTTTGGACCGCAGCCAGTTCCCCGCGCCTGGCTCAGGCATTGCAGGCAGTTCCTGTATGTGCCAAACACCACTGAGGAAGTCATAGAGATTGTGGTAATGGGTAAGGACATGCCCTTGAAGAAGCCATGTACCTGATGACACAAGTGAGAGAAAGCCAATGATAAACCACTGAGAAGACGCAAACAAAGCACTCTACTCCTCATCTGTCACTTCACTTTTTTTCCACAGCAATTAAATTATCTTTATATTCTCATGTAGACTCACTGGCACCCAAACTCAAAATCTACACTGAAAATGTGCAGATACCCTGAATACTTTTTGCCTAAGAAAGTTGAAAATGGGCAGTCCACATGTTGTTGCAACATTGACATTGTTACCTTACCAGCAGTGACACACTTACCACACACCTGCTCTTCTTTGTACTAACCCCCCCCCGGCCTCATGGCTCCACTTACCCCTTCTTTTGAAAATGTTGCCGCTGTACACTGCCATATTCCAGTGAACTGTTTCTGGGTTTGGATCCGGACCTAGAAAGATTTTTAAAAAAAAACAAAGTAAAAATGATATCCTAGTGTTATAGAGCTATGTTGACTGTTTCAGACACATGACACATATTGTACCTTCACAGTGTCCAGAGGGTAGCCCACTGCAACTCCACATGCCCCTGTGTTGTTTCCAAAGAAAACAGAGCATCAAGGACACAACAGAAACCCATCGATGCTCAAGGTTATGGGCTTCGACTGCAACCCTTTTAGTAATTTGCAGCTGACATGAAGGGCAAACACGAGGAGTTGTTGCTCATCTGTTTCACATTTGAAAATAAATTTATTGACAATTCAAGGCTAAGACAGTTGTAGCTGTGGTCTGGATCCCTGCAAATTCATACGTTCCCCTGAATTAGCTTTAAAGTTGACATGTTCATGGTATTATTTTCCAATTTTATGAAATGTAGTACTTCTTTCATATGTTGCTAAAATTTGTTATGGCATGTCGCACGCTCTCATAGAAATTATTAGATGGAGTTAACTGGTTGAGACTAAAAAGACAGATTGTAAGGTCACATGTAAACAAACATCCCCACTGCTTTTTAATTGTACTGAGGGGAACACATTTTCCTCTAAGCTGCCAATGAAACTACTCAACCTTGTCCTCTTTTACTAATTTATCTACATTTGTAGCTAGCCTGTAACTTATTAAGTAATTTCTACTACCACTTAATTCTTCAGGTTAAATCTGTATTAGGCTACTGATATACAATTTATGAGAGGACACGCAAAAACGCTTTTACAAAACACACACAACTGAGGGTTAATCTTGTGTACTGTAATCATACTTTAAACTCACCATAAACATACAGTAGCTAGCTTATTTAGCAAATGCTCCAGCCAACTCATGCTAACGTTAAATTTAAAACCGGATGGGCTAGCGGGAGCTTTTACCTGCAAATGATCCAGACACAAAGTCAGCGATATGCATCCTGTCAGATGGTCACTGACCAACAGATACCTTTCAGATGGGTGCCCATTCTTCTTCAAGCGTGTGCAGTAACCTTGAGTGTGTTGCTGTGACATAACGTGTAGCAGAGGCGTGTCTCACTACCAGCCAAGCAGCGTCAACTGAAAGCATTGGTCCCGACTTTACCCGAAGACAGCCGAAAGGATCGAATTTGACTAAAGGCATTTATTGTGTATATCACGTTACAATGAAAATCACATGACAAACATATTCATTCTTATTATTTCATATCGTACTTTACACGGCGAAACGTCACTTTGTAATGTTTTATTTAATTTGTTTATATTTTAAAATTAAGTTATGTTATTATTATTAAATAGAAAATTCAAAAATATATATTAAAACAAAATAAATATATATAAAATAATTAAGAAACATCATTTTTTAAACCATTTTATCGGAACTATTTAATAACAACAGCTAGCTGTCAATAAACGTACCCCACACACATTTTGTTAGTGAAACTAAGTCACTCAAAAGCAAAACATCACAAGGCTCTGCAAGGCACTAATGACGCATTTCAACGCTGCGGTATTCAGCCAATGAATGACGAGGATTACGACTGAAGCGGGGTGTCGGCGTTAAATCGTTGCTCGGATTGGATAGGAACTCTACCCGAAACCGGTGTTATTCCCGCCCCTTAGTTGTTACTTCCTGCGACGCTGGCGTTGCTTCAAAAATAAACCTCCTTGATACAGACAGAGGAGAGAGCGACTACGCCACAGATGCGTCTAGTCTGCCGGAAACAAGAAGAAGAAGAAGAAGAAGAAGAGGAGAGAGCGCCCGCATTGTCTGTGAACGCCATACAGGTTCATGGAGGTCAGCAGAAGACTGTTGTTAAAATAAATAGGGGACAAGATAAATAACCAAATAATTGTCCGCATCAGTGGATTGTAAGGTCTTAGAGGGGAACTCTAGCTAGCCAGTGCTAGCTAACGCTAACTAAAGGTGTCAGTTAATGTAGAGCATTAGGTAGATTAAACAGCTCGGGACAGTGACTGTCTGGTGGAAAACAGCGTTTCAGAGAGTCGCTGAGAGCCTCTTCACGTTAAACGTAAGCATTTAGTCCTTCAGCCAGGTGACGTTGCAGAGTGGCGATGGATTTCGTTGCTGGATGCATCGGAGGTAAGTCAGTTGAAGCTGCACCTTGTCTTGCAATTTGTTGGATGAATGCATTTGCCAAAGAGCCACCTTGATATGACTGGTGATTGCCCCTATGTTGCTCTAGTGGCAAACCACAAATCTGCTAAGCACCACCCATACTAATGTAATGCAACTCTATCACAAGGTTGCAAGTGCATTTTCGAAATTCAAGCGCAGGTCGCACACTAAAGCCAAGCCTGTAATTTCGCTGAATGCTGCTGATTGCATTAGACCTGGTGGCAGACCTTGGCTTTGAGCGAGAGTAAAATTGTGCGTGTGGCATATTCTGAGTTTGCCGTAGGATCAAGTAGAAAATGAGAACGTGAAGTTCGTCGTACTTGGGCGTTTACTTCCTTTAGTTGTTGTTTTATCTACAGTATTTTTGTGCTTGCTTAAAAACTTCCTGCGGAAAGTTAGGTTAGAAATGATAACCTTCAAAGACCCATTTTTAATTTGCTTACTCAAAAAGTGTGCTTCAGCCTTATGCTTCTCTCCCTGTGTCACTTGCAAACACTGCACAAGTGCAACCTGAGCTTTCAAGATAGGATGGCTTGGCTTTTTTATAGTTTCCACCATAGTCTATGGTTTCCACACACACCATATGCAGATGACATGAATCAGTACACACCCCTCCACAGACCAATCCCATGCTTTCTTTACTTTACACTGACTGACATGTGAGATCCTGTGGTTTCCCACCCTCCCACAGTGTGGTAGAATTTAGGGAACCCTCTGCAGTCACATGGGAAGCTTTTTGCTGCTGTTGAAGGATGGAAGTTTGTTGCTGAGCTAAAAAATGACCTCAAAATGAGGTTAGCTTAGTGGTTTTTGAAACCAGTAAAGTCTCAGACATTGGAAGATGGGTGGTGACACACTGAAGAGAATAGTTATGACAACTATGCAGCAACACCCTCGTTGTTTTTCTTGTACTCGTATCATACCAGTGCATTGAGGTCAATGACCGCCTGTCATTGTGTCAAACACACTCCAGCTTGTGTTCTTTTCCTGGCTTACAGCTGGGACTCACTCCTGATTGGCTCTTTTTACAAATGGGTCAGGTGACAAGTGCTTAGGTGGGATTAGCCTGCTGTGGTTTGTTTACTGCGGCGACACAGGTGGGCCAGTAACTTCAGGTCTATGGTATTCACTACTTTCTTTCTTATTGAGACCATTAGCATAATAAAGCAGCATTATTTTTGAATTGACATATGGAATATTTATTTGCTAAAACAACACGGGTGTCACTTTATGTTGAAAAGTGGTGGAGGCATAAGGACTTAGATTAGAGGTGTGATGATACACTTTGGGTCACGAGACGTGATGCAAGAGAACAAGACGAGATTTTTAATACTATGTAGAAAAAATAGGAAATGCTGAAATATATGAGCGGGGTGTCGGGGGGGGGGGGGTCCTCCCCCAGAAAATTGGAGCATTAAACACTTGTGTGGTGACATTTTCTGCTCCAATATATGGTGGAAATGTCTTTATTTAGATTAAGGGGAAACCAAACAAAAAAACTGAGCAAAATATAATGCAGTAAGAAGCAGCTTGTTTGTTTAGGAACTTCCTTCCTTTCTGTCCAAACAACATTAAGAGGAAGTCAGTCCGGGAACTATCATCAGATTTCAACAAACTCACGTGAGAAGCCCAAACTAGCATCAAAACAAGGGCGTGTGCTGCTGCATGAGTCTAGTTTATGTAACTTTTAAAGGAGCGCTAAAGAAAGTTTTAGAGGGTGATGATGCCCAGTGAGCTGGCTTTGGCTCAGTAGGGCAGTGTGGCAGCATAGAATTTCACAACAGTGCCATCACCAAGAGTTTTGGCCTTCAAAGACTAGTCACATGGGCCGAAAACTGTTTAAATAGGCCGGACGTGTCAGTGGGTCCAGTGGGTATAACAGCCGAAAAATGACAAACCAAAAAGCTACGGAGAGACAGGAAATGGATCCTTCAATCATGTCCGTCACCAATCACATCATGAGTGTTGTTGTATAGTTTGTTCACAAGAGGGCACTCTACAACTCCTGTTAGCAACACAAGTGCCACAAATCTACCACAAAACAGCAATCAGCTGACATCTGTACTTTTGTTCAAATTACTGTTTATTTATATATATATACTGCATTATGTCATGTTTTCTTGGTGAGGCCTCATAACTAGATATTACAAACGTTTGTATTATGTGTTTCTGAAAAGAAGAAAAGATAAAGTCGGACGATTTATAATTGATCCTAAAAGTGGGATTGAATTTGAAACATGGTGTAAATGATTTGTATGGAACAAAAACATTCATGTTCATTACAGAATAAAATGCTTTAAATCAAGACAGATTCAATCATGATAGATTTATTATTTCCCACTGTATTTTGCTTACTGTTTCCTTACATTTCTTTTGTCTCCAGGTGCTGCTGGCGTCTTGGTTGGACACCCATTTGACACTGTGAAGGTGAGCAAAAGTTTTCTTAAAGGCACAATATAATTACAGAATTTTTAACAGGAAATTCTCTGTTTTAATGCACCTTTTTACATCAACAAATTTAAAACTTGAACTTGTTTAACAGAAATCTCAGTGTATTTCCAGCATATTTATTTAGTGCTTCGTGCTCACTGTTTTTCATTGAGTTGCCCCGTCATCACTGTGCACTGTAAACAACTAACACAGAACACTGTGAATTTCTTACTCCTCTCTTATAATGGATTGTGTGTCAAAGGGATTGGTATTCAGGGTTTAATTGATCACTGAAAAGCATCTTCTATTCCAGGTGAGACTCCAGGTCCAGAGGGTTGATAAGCCTCTGTACCGTGGGACTTATCACTGTTTCCAGTCCATCATACGGCAGGAGTCGGTAGGTGATTTATTTCCCAGTCTTTTTGGACTTGATTAACACAAGTGTCTTTTTTGTTTTGTTTCTGTGTGTCCTCTAGCTTTCTGGGCTGTAAAGCTGGGAGCCTGCAGCTCATGAGGACACCTATCGTATAGTTACATTTGACAGGTCTTCAGCGAAGTCTGGTCATGGCTGTAGCTGTAATGGTTTATAGTTTAAGTGAGGTCGGAGTGAGCTGATGGCAGAGTTATGTTACTCTTGGTCTTATGACTGAATGTGGCACGTTAAGTTGTGAGGCCAAACCGGGGGACGCTTTGAGTGGGGATTAGTATAGTTTTGTTGAATTGGGTCAGACTAAAAGAACAATTTTCACCCTGAGAATTGTATTTAATAAAAACAAAACTATATCACATTTGTTATTCAAAACCTCTGATTAACACTCCCTGTCACCCCCTCCTATTCACTCTAGCATGTTTGTGCAGATGCAAACTGAAGTAGCACCTCTTTCCAGGATCATTATTTAAGTAGCCTCAGGGTGTCTCACATTTTTTCACTTTTACTGCAGGCACTATTTAACTGCAAGAAGTATTAGGGAGCGACAGGAAGGACAAAAATGGTTACACTTTATAAAGTCTGCATATATTA